AAGCAGATTATTTCAAAGGCCACAGATGGAGATCAACCCTTGCTCAAAACATCCGATGGCTGCATGGTACAAAGGCATATTTTGCTCTGGCATGTAATTTCCTCACTACTTAACTACAAAAGTATATCAGAATTGAATTCTAGTGCTCTTTCTAAAAGGGAGCTGAGTCACAAGTACCTCAGTGCTGTGTCTACAGACTAAAGTAGATGACTCACGTCTGTGAAATTCTGAGAGAAAGTACCAACCGACCCCTTGCTTAGTCACCTTCTGCATGGATGCTGGGTTCATGAGCTCTGTAAACTATAATGAGCGATCTAGCCTTTTACCATCTCTTTATTCTTTTCTAAACAGTACAAATTACATCTCTAAAAATAACCTCATGTACGCAAGTGAGTCACTTTGACCTAACAAGCTTCCACAAGTAGTTACCCAGCTAAACTGTAATATTTACTTGTGAAGGTACAAATCTTGTTGTCATATTAGCCTCCATTTTTCTTTTCTTTTTTAGAACAAAATTTGGCAGCCTAGGAGAGAGGAGAAAGGGTTCATCAAAGATTTTAAACAAAATATGGTTTACTCCTAATTCTTGACATGGGCAGGGAATGGGGGTGGAGGAAGGAATTTTTGAAAGCTATGAAACAGCTTATGAAAGTAGAATTTTAATATTTTAGCCTAGACTGATCAAAGACTTTTCACTTAGTGAAGAGTGCATATTGGCTTTTGAAGGAGAAGTATTGGTAATTCCGTTTATTTAAAAATCTCAACTGTGAGTATGTGATATTTTTGACAAAAGACCTAGCCATGCCAATAAATGCATATGCACTAAATGTTAGTCTTCGCTCTCCCAGGAGCTGATCTCGCGCCACACCCTCAGTTTTCTAGACACCCAGCTAAGCTTTGGCGCCCCACCCGCCTGCCATGTAGCTTTCCAGCCCTCAGGCCTGCCCACTGGTCTACAGCTTGCCTTCCTGAACCTGCCACTGCTGCTCTCACCAGCCCCAGCCCAGACTTGTCCCAGTTAGGCAATAAGTACAATAAATTCAGCTGGGGGCAGGAGTGGGTTACCTGCATGGAGCATATTCCTTCATAAAGTAAGCAGTGATAGGGAAATATTAACACACAGTCATCTGGAGTTCAGCTTTGATCAGAGGAGACTGGACAGAATGCTCATCCATGTCTGACCAGGAATGGAATCACCAGCACCATGAGGTTAGAACCTTTCCACTGCTGTTCCAGCTTCTCTAAGAGATCAGATGTAGCCTCATCTGATTCTGTGAACAGTCCCAACTGAGGGGCAGGGGGCAGGCGCTTAAGGACAGAAAAGCTGCAATCATTGTCCCTTTGAAAATTCTCCAGGAAATGGGCTGTAAAGCCCACTGCCTAGACCCAGCCACAGCAGTAGCTGAATCACCTACATTCTTCCCAACTCTTATTCACTTGATTTGTACCAAGATGATTACTTTAGTTACCCTCTAGAGAGCAGCCATCCTCTGCTGGGGCAGGTTGGGTCTGGTCACTTCTGCATGGTCTTCCCTAACTAAGCCTAAGTCCTAAGCTCCAGCAGTGGCCTGTGCACTGCATGCAGGAGCAGTTCTCCTTCATGTCCTCATTCCTCCCTGCACCATGCCACAGTCTGGCTCCCCTCCTGGACACACAGCTCCCTTGCAACTCATTCATCTCCTCTAAGTTTTGCATTTCTCGATGCAAAATGAGGAGAACCAACTTCCTCTCAGGAAAAGACCCCTTGCAGATGTGAGCACTTCAGCCTGCAAGGTGCTTGGACCCTCCATGCCCCCCACTAAAGCAAGAGGTCGCTGAGCCCCTGCCAGGCGCTACCTCTGTGTGGGCGAGGTATGTGCATAAGATTCCTATCTAAGTCTTCAGCTCCAGTGTACACCTTCATCCAAATAATGAAGCAAGCACACATGACAACTAGTGATCTATCCAAGGTAATATATACTGAAATATGTTACACAGATCAAGTGCTACAGAGACAACAGAAAAGTTTTCAGAAATGGTGTAAGAAAGGTGAGGAAATAGACAGCAAAGGAGGCCAGCAGAGACCATGGCTGAGTGAGACAGAAAGCCGGGGACAGGTGAGACTGTATCCTGAGAGGCCACTGGATGACAGTGGTATGTCCATGGGATGGAGGAGTGGATGGTGTAAGAGTGCCAGTGAAATGATCCTTTAGTGAGGTGATGAACTGTAAACCAGGGAGGAGGCATGGGAGTGGCCAACACTAAAGCACCCAAAACACTGCATTTCTAAAGCATGTGATGGATTCTGATATGCTTTCCTTCATGGATTCTGACATGCTTTCCTTCAGTTTAATCCTCACAAACCTCCTGGGAGGGAGGCAGGACAAGTAGCACCCTCGCTTCAGAGACAGAAGAGTCTCAAGCTGAGAAATCCGAGGACCTAACCCTGTTTTCTGACTATGGGTGGAGTGCTCTTTCTGTCCTCTGAGCAGTACTCCAGACAAGTAGGAAACTTTTTCTAAAACACACAAATTGGACCAAGTGCCCTCCCTCTAACCCCTTTTGATTCACAATGGAAGGTGTTGGAAGTCAGAGAGAGGATGTGCTGGGAGGGAGGTCAGACTTCAAGGCCCTGAAAGTGCCATGTGCAGTTAGGGTATGTGCTTTCCTCCCTAGGAATCTGGTCCACCATTAAAAACTGGGTGGAGTAGATGTTCAGTTCAGGTAGCTGAGGAAAAATTGTCTCCTATGCTAAGCTATCATATCAGCTCCACATGTCTGGTGCTAGCTCTTATCTTTTATCCTTACCAGCCAGAACTAAACAACTGTGTAGCTTTCTGGAAGGCTGAGAGCACTCTGGATGTGAAAAACTCTTCTATGGTGAGGGGCGTCCTGCTCCTGGTGAGCCCTGGTGCTGCTCCTCAGCTCCCCAGCTCCTCTGGGAAGGCCGATTCACTTAAGACAGTCTGAGGCTGGTGTCTCTGTGACACTGTCCCCAGCTTCCTCAGGCAGACAAAGGTACTCTTCTGCTTTCCACGGACTGTTGGGCCCACAGACTTCTCTGCTGGACAATAAGCAACTTGGATCATCTTATACTTTTTTTTTTCTTTCTGTATTTTAGAGAAGGGTCTACAGGGTGTTCAGGGTCTCACTACTAGATCAGACTCATAGTGATTCTACTATTTATAGCCTCCCAAGTACTAGGATTACAGGCACATGCCACCATGCCCAGTCTCAATTGCCATCTCAGCGTGCCCTGGGGGCAGGGCAGTCACAGTTGGCCTGGGGATCGAACCCCCGGCCACTAAGCCTGCTTGCAGGTGCTTTAATCCACTGAGCTATTTGGCGGGCTCCATCCTATTCTTTCTATGTGAAAGAAAGGGCAGAACTATATTTACTCAGGCTGGGGAGTCCTCTGCAGCCAACCTGAATAAACCTTTCCCCAACCTCAGCTCTTTGGAGCAATGTAAACTTCTACCCAACCTCACAATGTCCTTTGATTGTTCTGACATATATTGAGATCTGAATTCTTCAACTGAGTCAAGCCTGCCTTCCACTATCTTTGAGTCTCTGTCTAGGTCAAAAGCTGCCCTTTTATCATATCATATCATATCATATCATATCATATCATATCATATGTCATCTCATCTCATACCATATCTTCCCTCCTTTAACCTACAAGTTTTAGAAGATTTTTGCCCTAAGGCACATTCTCACATGGGATATCACAATTCCTACAGCCAGCCGACACATTTCTAAACCCTAAACAATTAAAATATGTATTTCATTTAGTTTTTATAATTTTACCACAATTAAGCATTTGATTTTATCAGGCTTTTGCATGACTGTTATGAATGCAGTCTAGTCACAGGCCCCCACTGCTGCTTTTGTGAGGAAACTGGCCTACACACGAGGAGGACTCACCATCTCCTGTTCATCACACTAAACTCTGTCTCCAAAAAGGAATCTTAAAACCACCTTCCCTTAGTACTTTCTCAAAAGAATTCTCCACTACCCAAAATAAATTTCCCTTCTCCTTCACTCTTAAAACATATTTGGACCTATGTTTTCTTTCACTCTACACATAAACCAACTAAAATTCATGTCTTGAACGTAGGAACAACTTCCAGATTCTACCAACTGCATGGAACTGATCCAGTGAGCATTTGAGAGTTAACTGTTACTGATTAGCATAAATGTCACAAGCAAAGGATAGCTTGAACATAAATACATACACATAATAAAACCTATCTACCATCTTCAAACTAGTATGCATAGCTTTTTTTTTTTTTAATGTATTTGGTTGTTATAGGGTCTTACTATGCAGCTCGAACTTGTGGTGATCCTCCTCCTTTCAGCCTCTCCAGTGCTGGGATTACTTGTGTTCATCACTATGTCCAGACTCTGTGGCCAGTGCAGCCTACCCTGGGGGCGGGGCCAGCAAGGCATGTGGTGCCAGGGATCGAACCACAGTCTCTGCACTTGCCTAAGCTTGTGCTTTAGTCTGCTGAGCTATCTTGCTGGCCCCAGTATACATAGTTATTGATTTTATATTGTACAGCTATCCTGCCTCTTTCTTTCCCTTTTAACTACTGGCTTCATAAAGAATGAATCTGGGGTGATATGTGTCTGCTTTATTTACTTAAAACCTTTTTTAAAATCATGGGACTGGTTCTAGTTTGGTATGTTAGCAGAACATACTCACTGAAAAGGGCAGGGATTTTTAAGAGGCTTGTTTCCTTCACAGTAAATTGACACACTGACCTCTCAAAGTTTCTGCATGAAAAAAACCATTAAAAATAAACTATTTGAAGACTGTGACCAAGTCGTGTCACTGCAGTTGGAAGTGCAGCTGTCCCTGTGAGCTGTGTCACAAAGCAAGAAGGTCATGTTGGTTTAATTCCTGGGTGGGGAGACCTTGAAGGAACAGTTTCTCTGATGCAGCAGGAAGTTGCCCTAGTGCAGGTGATGGCTTGGGTCCAGCTTGAGGCCCCACCAAAGCAAACACACTCACAACTAACTGGGACAATGGCTGAAAATCCTAAGGTGTATGTTTCCCCCAAGAAGTCCATGAATGGGAGGCAGCTTTTTCCTTTCATCTCTGGCATGGCCAGGCACTTCACAGAGAATTCAGCTGTGTGCTTACAGATAGCCATCTTATAAACTGGGAAAACCAAGGGAGACACTCCATAAAGTCGCACAGTCCATACACATCAATTCAGAAAGCCTGCATTCCCTAACGCCCTGACTCCCAAGTGTGAAGGCAATGGGCCAATATCACCTCACTAAAGGATCAAGAAATAACACTATTGCATCATTGTGTGGGTTAGACAAAGCAAGGCAGAACAGGAAGAGCTGAGTTTGAATTTGGACACTTGGGACTTGGTTTAAATACATTTCTACACTTATCATCTGTGTGATCTTAGGCAAGTTGCTCTCTGCTTACTACTTTCCCAGCTGTAGAATGGCATTTTTGATTTTTATCTCACAGTATATCATAAATGACAACTATTAGTGTGATCGAATTGAGGGCCAAGGTTCTTTCCCTTCCGCAGAAGCAGCAGAAGAAAGACAGCAATAGGTTAAAGGAACAGTCACACTATCCATGCAAACAGCAGGTTAACTCCTAGATCCAAGGAAGGTGGTACCTTGCTTAGGTATAATCAAATGCTTAGCAGCAGTGACTAAACCCCTCTCCAAAGCAGAAAAAACAAGTGGGCATATAGGTGCCAGGTACCACCACTTATAGCATTTGTTTCTAGATAGGATCATTTAGTAGGAGATAAGTATTATTTTCTGCTATAGTGAGACATAATGATCTTTTTACTTTAAGCTTCATGAGGGAGGGACCACACATATCTTATTTATTGTCTTTGCCTGACAGAATGGTGTAAGACAGGTGTTTAATAAAACAATTTCTTTTTTTCAAAGTTTTATTGATAAACATATAGCAATGAGACAGTTTCAAATCAAATCGAAAGTACAGTTTCAACAAATAATACACTGCATATATTCTTCTCAGTGGTTAATTGCTGTACAAGATGCAGACTTGTGATCCTACTTACAAACACCATTAGAAAAAATCATTCTATTCCCAATTTTTTTTAAGTTCCGTTGTTGAATATTATAGGTGTGTAAACTCAGCAAAATATTCCAAAAGAGTACAGAAGCCCATAATAGCATTGGGTCTTCTGTTTAATTGGCAATGTCAGAAATTATTGACGTGAGTCCCCCACAGCTCAACATAACAACATGGCTTTACTTCCTATATTTCATCTTCATACTTTTCTACTGGATGGTTAAGACCAAGGTAAAGCAGAACCTATGCAACAAGAGTTGTAGCTTTTTGGTTTGAGAAGGTCAGTGAAATGCCCTCAGGATTTATCCTGAGATCCTGTACCTCAGATTGTAGAACCTTTGTCAGTGCAGCCATGTGGATGAGTCACGGCCATTGCTTGGCCAATGTGCTCTCTGTGAAAGCCTGAGAGAGTGTCTTCTCCTCATGTGACTCTCCTTAGGCACACTCCACGTCATCGATCAATTTCCTCTTTGGCCCCATAACCTTCTTGATCAGAAAATCTGGGACACTACCGAGGTACTTGACGTTACAGTACAAGTTCTCATATGTCCTGAGTCTTAATTGACCTTAGAAGGGTAGGGCCAAAATATTGGCTTTCCTTGTAGCCCTCCTTTTTCTCTAATTTTGGTCTGCAAACTTAGGTTGTTAACCATCCAGAAGACAAGCTTATTGTTATTATCAAACGATTTACGTTATCAAGCTTAACCTCACTATTTCACTACATTTCAAACATCTTAGGCATAATAAGGAACAGGTATTTTTCATCAAGTATTGATATGTTGAACCTTAAGTCCCTACATAATATGATAAAGAACATTTAAAAATTAGATTATATTTTAACAATAGGATAAAGAATTCTATGCTTCTCATGTTTGCACATAAGTCCAAAAATCTCACCATATACAACCTTGAAGCAGGACTGTCCCACAGTATTCCTTTTCCTGTCTCTTGCTTTCATTCATCACCCCCTTCTTCTTGAACATCCACCTACCCGAGAGACATCTTAGCAGTAACTGGCATGTCATGACAAGCAGCCCGTGTTCAGAATACCACAATGAGAGGCACTCACAATATGAAACCACTATTACAAATTACCATCTGCAGTGCAGTAGCTTAGTTCACAGAATAAAACAATTTCTAATTGAACAGTGACCTTAAACCTGTTTCCCAGCACAGAAAAGAAGAGAAAAGCACACATACTTTAAATAAAGCCAAGGCAGTGTTCTAGGATTTTCATACGTGTAGTTAGCCAAGTACTACTAGTACTATTAGTCAAATACTCTTGGATCTCCTGATGTGATCTTCAATGTTAATTTTTAAAAGGCCAATAACAACAAAATTCCAAATATCTCAAGATTATTTTTACTAAATAGCCTAGGTTTGTTTTTAATCTTTCCAGAGCTCATGTTCACATCTGTGGCCTCTCTTTTTATGGGCTTTGGAGCTATAAATCTGAAGAAAGAGAGATAAGGTAGGAACCCTGTTAAACAAAATCCCCACCAAAACGACAAACATTCAAACAGGAGTGGCCTGCCTTTATCTGTCACCACCCAGTTTTGATGGAGTCCGTTTCCCTTTTACAAAGGATCTGCTGTCTGTGAAGTGAACACTTTACCCAAGAGGCCAAAAGTCACTCCTCAGCTAGGTATTTCCCAAAGGACTTGTACTGTATGTTCCAGAGTCTGATTGCTGAGCTAACTATCTGGGCTACTATAAAATGTCTTGATTTTTATCTAAGGTTGGACAGATTGGGCTTTTTGATAAACAGTCTACTTCCTTGAAAAATGCAGATATTTATCCATATGCTGACTCATTCCTGGTGCAGAGAACACAGAATCCCCTGCAGAGGGTGGAGACTGCAAAGGCCAAATCTTTCAAAACAGGGGGGGTTGGGGGAAGCCAAAAGAAAAACAACAGAACTGAGTATTATTCTGAATTGATTATTCATAGGTAGTTTGCAAGCAGCCAGCTAAAGTTTGGATACTGGCTGGTAACTATTATGGTGTGGGTCCTTTAGGTCTTTCTTTTTTTTTTTTTTTTCCAAAATTTTTTTGATAAAAAGCAATGAGACAGTTTCAAATCAAATCGGAAGTACAGTTTCAACAAATAACACACTGCATATATTCTTCTTAGTGGTTAATTGCTGTACAAGATGCAGACTTGAGATCCTACTTACAAACACCATTAGAAAAAATCATTCTATTCATTAAGAGAATGCAACTATATATCTATCCTAACCACTTTGAATACACAGATACAAAATGGACATTCATCTGTATACCCTATTTTTTCCCTTTAGGTCTTTCACTTCAAGATAAAAGAGACTTGACATGTTTATTAAGTGATTAGGTTGCTCTGGAAGTTAGGTATGTACCTCTGGTGATAGATGTGTAGTGATTATTTCTGTTGGCTACAAGCCTCAGCTTTGTTCTGCAAATGCTGAATTTAGTTGCATCTCTCTCTGTAGGTATGAGATACTTGGCTTAGTTTCTGCAAGATTTCTCTTCAGGGAAAGAATCTTTATGGTGGACATCAACACATACTACACACTCAGATCCTGAGAATGATTAAGCCAATGGATGACTGTAACTGATTTATGCAAACTGCATAATAAAAACTTTAAGAGAAGTGCAGAACCAGAAAGGATTATGGCCTGGGTTCTAGAACTGATCAAAACAATGGGCCTTCATTTGTGGGTTTAGGTACACTCAACGTCAGTGTGGGTCACTGCCACAGCATTAGGGGAAAAAAGTCATCTTTCCAAGTGAGGAGGCTGTTCCCAGCTCCTTTTTTATAATTAATACAGATGCTTATTACTACTAATGATAGTGTTTCAGTTTGTTCCCTTAAAAATTATTTTGCAATATTTGATACAGACCAAAAATACTTTTCACATACAAATATTTTGAAATAAGGTGAAAAAGTAGGACACATCTGAACCTATATTCCTTCTCAGAAAAAAACAATCTGACCCCCAAGTTCCCTCTGCCTGTACCTCAATCTTTCTCCCTAAATATAAACTTTCCTAAAAGTTGCTATTTATTAAGAGCTGGAGAGATAGCTTGGCAGTCTAAGTGCCTGCCTGGATAGCACAAGGATCTGAGGCCAATCCCCAGTAGTGCATGCCATGCTGACTTCTGAACGCCCCTCATAGCAAGACCCTGTACCCACCCACCAAAATCATGGTTTTAATATAGATTTCTATATCCCTAATAATAAATTGTCTTAATGTTTTTGCTTTTTGTATGTGATAATTCTATCACATTGTCTCCTGTAACTTTCTTTTGTTCAACATTAGGTTTCTTAGATTTCATCTTTATTTTGTACAGATACAGTTTATAATTTTCACAGTTAATAGTGTGAATTTAACACTGCTTACTTATAGAATGCCCTGTCATGAACATTTGGGTTTCTTGCATTTTTTGTGATAACTAATGATGCCACATGTTCTTTTTTTTTTGTTGTTTGTTTTGAGATGGGGTCTTGCTCTGTAGTCTAGGCTCTCCTGGGACTTGTGGTGATCCTCCTGCCTCAATTTCCTGAGTGCTGGGATTACAGATGTGTGCCACCATAGCCAGTACAAGATAAAAGAGAGATCCTGTGTATACTTTGATATAAAATTCTTAAATTTGTACTCATCAATATTTCTTGCTTTTCCTAGTGGGTTAGCCAAATAACTTTACCAGACTTGTTGCAGTAAGCTGGAATCAGTCATGAGTCTAAACGCTGGCCACTGGCTTGAGTGTGAGGAGGTTCACTCCAGACCTGATCCCTCCAAGCAGGATGTGCCCGCTGGAGGCAGAGGGTGTAGCGGATGCCAAGGCTACAGGGAATGGTGGAATCACTACAGAGAGGAACCAGAAGGCCTCACAAGGCAGACTGCATCCCCGCCTTCCCACTCCCATTTAACTGGTTCACAAGAAACCTTTACTGTGTCAGGAGGAGATTGGGAGCCATTTGTTACAGCTCTTAGACTTTCCCAATAAGCCTTCATTTCAATCACACACATATGTGGGATGCAGTCAGAGCTGGGGGTCAGGGAAGGCTCTATTCATGCATTTATGGGGGAGTCCAGGGGTTGTGTT